TCATCTTTAACCTTAAGTTCTTATAATGACATGGTGCCTAAGAAGAAGCAAGGAAAGTGGGCAGAAGACAATGTAGTCAGGCAGCATGAAAGCCTTGAAACATGGATTCAGTCCTTCCCTCCAGGTGATAATACTGATGCACTAGGCCTGGCATGATGGCTCATCCCTGTAATCCTAGCACTTTGGGAGGCCGAGGCAAGAAGACTGCCTGAGCCCAGGGGTTCAGAGACCAGCCCGGTCAACTTGGCGAGACCTCATCTCTACAAATAATTGAAAAATTAGCCGGGTTCGGTGGCTCAGTCTGTAATCCCACGCCTTTGGGAGGCTGAGGTGAGTGGATTGCCTGAGCCTGCGGGTTCGAGACCCACCTGGACAACCTGGCGAGACCTCATCTCTACAACAAATAAAAAAATCAGCTGGGCGTGGTAGCGCATGCGCCTGTAATTCCAGCTACTTGGAAGGCTGAGGCGGAAGGATCGCCAGAGCCCAGCAGGTCGAGGCTGCGGTGGTCGGGAGCGTGCCACTGCACTCCAGTCTGGGTGACAGAGTGAGACTCCAACTCAAAAAAAAAAACAACAAAAAAACCCCAAAACAACAACAACACCAACAACAACAAAAAGCAAATTCAATCCAACAATCCAAACTAAGTTTGTCGTGCACTTGTGGGAAACATGACTGTACTTAGGTCATCTGACGAGAAGTTCAGTGTCCAGAGCACAGAGGCGGCCATCCTGTCGTATCAGGCACCAGTTAGACCACGTCTAGCACACTATATTGGAGTCAGGGCACCACACTTTTTGAGGGGCACCGACAAACAGTGCATCCAAAGAAAGGGGCCGACAAGGGGCAGCACGGGGAAATGGCAGAGGTAACACAACATTTAGCCTAATGAACAAAACAGCAGAGAGAACATCACAGGTGATCTCAAATAGCTCAAGATCTTCCAGGTGCCATCTGAGGCTTCTCTGGGTAGCTCTTGAGAGGCAGGGCAAGTGAATGGAGTTATAAAATATTAGATCCTGCTCTCAGGTTAGAGTTAGGTCAAACCTTAGATATTCAGGCAAGCCTGACTCCCTGTGGATGGAAGTTGCCCTGTGCACAGCACCTGCCAAGGGATCAGTCTCATGCACATAATGGTACCCTCTTCCACTCTGGCTGGATCAGAGACATCTAATCAACAGCGCTCCAGGCCTCGGCTAGACAGTGGGTTACAATGTGTTTTGTCAAAGATGAGCTGATATAATCAAATTGTCTCTCTCAGGAATCTGCTCTAGGAAATCCAAAAAAAACTTATGGCAGTGAGCAGCAGGAGCTGAAGACGAAAGGATGCCACTAGGTAGAGGGAACAAGCAGAGCGAGGTTATCAGGAAGCAGAAACTGAATAAACTGATGCTATCAAGAGAGAAAACCACAGAGCAGAAAGAAAAAAAACAACGCACAGTGGAACAAGGAAAAACAGGTATCATGAGAGGAAGAGACAGAGAGACTGAGCCCATGAGCCAGACCAAACAAGAGCTCAGTCCTGAAGCTGCCTATCTCCTGCAATCCTGCACATTCCACCTAGTCCAGCTGTGCACTTCACTTTTTCTCAAGGTACATTTATGAACCTCCAGTCTTTGTAACCAAAAGAGCTGAACTAGAATACCAACTCTTAAAACCCTTCAAGTTTCCAGTGGGCGGGAGGGCTTGATCGTGCGGCACAAAAGACGTGAGAAGACCCATGCCCTGGGTGGAGGTTGGAGCAGTGACCTCTGCAATTCATGCCCTTTGGCTAGTCTGCAAATTATGACATTAGTCACAATCCTTCCATGCTCTGTTTCTTTGAAGCACTTCCATAAATTTAACCCAGTTATCATCATAACCCCCCCCAACACACACACAATGCAGATAAGGTGAGTAATAATGAGTTGGGATTAGGACAGAGGTGGTACAGAGAGGTGAATTTTCCATTTATGGTGAGGAAACCAAGATTCAAAGAGGTTAAATGACTGCGTCAAGGTAATTTTGCTAGTAAGACAGTCAGGATCTCCATACTTTCAGTTAAGCATTTTTTTTCTATAATTCTATTTAATTCTATGTAACTCTCTCCTTTGCTCAGGTTTTCTTTTTCTTTCTTTTTTTTTTTGAGTTGGAGTCTCACTCAGTTGTCCACACTGGAGTGCTGTGGCCGCTCCCGGCCACCGCAGCCCTGGCCTGCTGGGCTCTGGCGGTCCTTCTGCCTCAGCCTTCCAAGTAGCTGGAACTACAGG